GGGGGGGGGGGGGGGTGGGAAGGGGGGGGGGGGGGGGGGGGGGTAAGTTAGAGGTGCCCTACTTGCCCTGGGGTCCTCGCATCCCTAAAATAACGGGACGATGCCGGAATTTCGCCGGACCAGACTATGGTAAAAACTGCAATATCGTCATCATCCTTGCGGTGCCAAACCGGATACACCATGGGTCTTGAAATTCCAACCTGTGCTTTCCCACAACAGCTGCCGTGGTTACTGCCCGGGAACGCTGACCGCTGGTCATCTGTAGCACTTCTCGCCCGTGTAGGCCACTTCCTTTACCCAAGCATGTAGGGTATCGTTCGTCTCGTCCCGGCATTTCCATGCCTCAATCTTCTCTCTTGTAACTTCTTCTATTTCCCTCAGCTCAGTCGTGTACACTATCCCTCCTTGTCGTGAAACGGACAGTAAGTACATCAACCCGGTCTCCGCACTCGGAGCCGCATTCGCAATTGAACTGGCCTTCGTCTTCGTCTACCTTCCTAATATTCGTCAACTACGTCCTCGAAGGTCCAATGTCTCCAGGCATAAATCTGACCCTCAACTTCGTCACTGCTCCGTCGTCCATGTTGGAACTCCTTGAACCCTTCTTTCAACACAATGTTTATACAAAAAAAAAACATTTCCCTGTCTTTGCCGTAGATTGGGCTCTCTCTCTCTCTCTCTCTCTCTCTCTCTCTCTCTCTCTCTCTCTCTCTCTCTCTCTCTCTCTCTCGAAAGCATTTGATATGGTTGAAGGGGGGAGGGGGGGGCGTCCATGCTGAAACGAAAACACAACACCGTCGTTGGATCATGGGTGGGAACATGTGTGTGGGTGTGGGTGAGCGTTCGTCCGATATACAATTCACGAGTACATGTCAACCGGGGTCACACAAGAGGCTCTTTGTTTGGCGTTTTCAAAGGACACAACGAGTCCATCTCTACCCATCACAAACAAAAGAGTCGAAAATATAGAATAGCAATGAATACACGGAGTCAGCGGGGGCTACCTGTATGCCACTTTTTGACCTTTTCAAGGACACAGCAAAGGATCCAAGAGACGGTCGAAAAATCTTAATCTTCTCACGGTAGTCCGGCCCATCCCCTCCGAAGTCCTACCGCTTCCAGACAATAAGTAAGTCAAGTTTTTGTGGTTGCGGTGTTCACATCCGTCCAAACTGACGCGACCCGGACGCAATCCGTGGTGTGGCCAGTGTTGGATATTGGGTATCGAATATCGATACAAAACTGATATATATCGACGATACGCAGTATCGGTATTGCCGGTTTCCACGCCGATATTTGTCGATACGAATCGGTATCGGTATCGATGTCGGTATTCAATATTCGATATTTTGGCCCCCTTTTTACCGGGGGGGGTCAGTTTCCCATCTGTCTACCCCCTTTTTTCGCTCCGGCGCCTACGCGCCTACTCCTGTCGCCCCCCACTGCCATCACAACCACACACCACACACACACCACCAGCCCCTGCCAGCCACACACCACACCAACAGCGCCTGTTTCTCAGCTCCTGAGAACCACATCGGTGTGCAACACGAGCCTTCAAGAATTCGGCTTTGTCGCCGGCGATAGCGTTGCCTCTGCCGAATGAGTAGCAGTCATCCCCGTTAGAGTCAGCTTGCCTCCTCACGTAGGTTTGGCGTTTCCCGCAGTTTCAGCACTACTACATTAGTGCGAACAGAGGCCGTACCTCCTGCGGACAATTTATTTATGCTGTGTGAACTTGGTTTTGGGACTTGTAATACGTGATGGCAAGGTGTGCTTGATTTCATGTCCGACCACTTGGGCGTGTGATGAATAGAGAGAGGTGATGTCGTGTTCAAGTTTGGCAAGCGTTTGATTTTCGCACATAATGTTTTCGCCATGTTTTTTCTTTTGTTTCCTTTTGGCTGTTGGGTGTCTAGAGTTGATACTCGCTCGAGGTGCTTTGCTGATTGTTGGGCACCCACAACTGGTGGATGGAATTTTGCATGCATAACTTTGAAGGTAGTAAGATAATATAAAACCAAGTGCTCGAGTTTGTTCCGCGTTTTTTTGTCATGAAATCCTGCTCGCAGCCGAGCTAGCACTGATTCGATCGCAACCGTACGGCGGTGTTATAGTGTGTACGTGTATACACACATGCACACTGACTGTAAAATGTAAAATATATCTGGTGGACACAGCTACACAACCAACCTGCCTCTTGCACGATGGAGTTTTGTATGCGCAACATCACACATCACAACGTGTGCCCGCTGTTGTTGTGCTCGTGATGTTCAACTGCACACACCTGGCACCTGGCAAACACCACTACTTCCATGCCGCCGGACCATGCGCGCACGTCTTGCGCACTGCTGTATACTTCAGATAAGGGTTTGGGTGTGCCAGGGTATGTGTAGTTGCGTAACGCTCGCTCTTCTTGTAACCTGAGGCCTTCAAAACAGCCGTATCGATATCTCGAGTATCGAGTATCGATATCGAGTATCGAGCCATTTTCGGGATATCGAACAAAATATCGGTATTTGTGTTTTTTTCTCGATACGATGGGCGTATCGTATCGAACCCTTCTGCCCGACCAATATCCCAACACTGGCACCTCATGTGAGTAGGCCAACTACCCGAAAAAAAATGGACAGCGCAGCCTCTAGACTACGTGTACGTATGAATGTGTATAAACTTCAACAGCAGTCTTTCATAAGTACAACAGGAGTCTTTATTCGAGGACAGAACAAGGGAGGGGAACGAGAAAGACTTCCAGAAATAAAATCGCCACACGGCAGCACATTTACACCTAAAACACGTTCTTGGTGGAAGTCCGTCGAAGGATAAACGCCTGCATAGAGCTGCTGCTACACACACGTTTGCTTACAGAGCTTACCAGAGTGTCCCTTCACACAACGAAAAACACATTCAAAAGAGCCGCGGCGACATACATTGGCACTCATTTCTTGCTTCCGGCAAGAAATTTGTTAGAAAATACACCGCCATGCGACAGGCACCACGTAGTAACTGCAACGTGAGGTGGGAGCGCTGGACGCTGGACAGGTGCGTACATGCCATGGACAACGAACGACCCCCTGGACCCCACACACGCGTGAGAAAAAAATCAGAAAAAAGAGGAAGGAAGTGGGTTGGAGCAAGAATAAGGCATGCTACGTACAGTGTCACACAGGCGAATGCTTGTGATATCTCGAAGCCGTGGTTGGCCTTGAGATAGAAGTGAGGGGAATGACACACGCGCCGAGGCTGGTACGAGTGAACAGTACGTCGGGGGTTTTTTTTGGAACTGTGTACACACACCACGAGCTCCGCATTTTTGTGGACTCAATAGAGCTAATGTGAGAGAAACAACAACAAACCAGACAAGGGCACATGCATATTAAGGAATAATAAAAACACACACAGAAAGACTACCCATTCGATATGTATGTGTGTTTAGGTTTTGCCACGGAAAGATTGAGATTTTTTGGTGTGGGCTTCCAAATCCGTGGATAAAAAACACACGCATGCCAAGTATGATACAGCAGTACATGTAGGGGCAAACGCAAGAAGGGTTGCACTTGTGCGGTGCGTTTCCCTAGTGTGGCGTGATCCCCCCTCTTCTCTACCAGATGCAGCGTCGTGTTGTGCATGGAAGGAAGGCCACTTCTCTCCGTCCCACCCGCAAGTTGGGGTGACGAGGGGAAAGAACATGACCACACAGCAGACAGCAGAGGAGGAGCGTATGAACTTTTGACCCGTTTTCCAATACTGCTGTTGGCCACTGCAAGTTCTCTAGCCTGGAGTCAGTATTGTAGTAGAGGCACTTGTCTCTCGAATACGTGTATGTATCTCTTCTGTCGCGAAGATGATGTGTGCTGTGGAACATTATTGCACGCCTGTGGAAAGGTGTGTGCCTGCTGCTGCTGGCCCCCTCTTTCTCTACTCCCTACGTCTTCATCATCCCAAATGCGTGCCCACCCGCTTTACTCGTTCACCGACCCCGAGTGGAGTCCAATTTCCAGTTGGTCTCTTCGGCAGCGTGGACAGAAAAATTTCGTCTCTCCTCTTCGGGCTGTGGGTTGGGTATTACTGCTCTCTTGCAACACAGGGAACTGGGTCTTACGGGCTGAAAGCAGCAGAAGACCACCAAGCAACGACACAAAATAAGAACTCGACACCCACGATGAGGGGGCGGGGTGTAGCCAAGCGGTTGCCAAAGAGCAGAGAGAACGAGAAACCAAGCAGCAGCGCATGCGAGGAGGGCATGTACGAATCTTCTCCTTCCACACGCACGATCTCTCCTTACCGATTTTTCTTTGCAGATGCTCCTGATGCAGCAGAAGACAAGCAGCGCACCGACAACAAGCCCCGCCACGAGCCCGATCACGAGCCCCGACATCTCTTCGGTATCCTGCCCCGCACCACCAAAGCAAACTTCAAGACAGTTGTGACGGATGGATTGTCCGTCTGCTCGCTCTGATCCGTTGTTGTTGGTGTTCTTTAATTAACCGTTGCGGGAGATATGAAAATCACCGAACCAGCAGCAGCCTCCGGCTTGCAGTAAAGCTTTCCCTCTTCCCGTCTGTTGTCTCAGCAAAACAAACCGTGGTACGGCAAGAAACTGGCTGCTCACACGATCGAGATGATAGGGTGAAGGTTCGAAGACAGAGGAGAGTGGTTGGTGGCTGGCGTGTCAGGGGTATGGGATTTCGATATTTCGGTAACCTGCCTGCGGGTGACGCTACCTCTGTGTGGCGCTGATTGGCGTCGTCAGAATCGGAGATTTGCAAGAATTTTTCATGCGATCATAGACTCTGCGGCGACACTTTTTCGTGACTTCCCGGCGCCTACGTCCCGAGCTAAGCTGTTGGTAGAGAGCGCACGCAGGAGTGTCGGCTATACGAGCGGCGGTCATCGGACGTATTTCAACAGCCTACAGCAGTTAGATGTGCGAGTTGTTGTGCCTGTGACTTGTGACGATTTGTGCACATAGGTAGGGCCACATTGGGTCTGTTGTTATTATTTTCCGGAAAATCTCGCCGTGGCCCCCCGGCCAAGAACCTGTAGGACCCCGGGGGGTAGGTTGCGGTGTTGGCAATAGGTGCTGTGGGTGTAGTGTGCAGCTTTGCATGCATGCGCATGTCCCATGTCCCAGCACATGTGGAATCCATAGCATAGATACTCTGGGATGGCGAAGTCCAGCGGCGATAGAGGGCGGGGCGGACGGAGGGGACGAGGGCGCGGTACATTGAGCAAGGGCAAGGGTGGTCGTGGCAGTGGCAGCAGCTCACAGCAGCGCTACCAGCAGACCCAACAGCACCACCCTGCAAGGATCAGTGTCAAGCCCCCAAGCTTCTTGGGGTTTCGAGGCCCTTCGGACCGCTTCGTAGAGGAGTCGCACCCGCAATTCCAGGAGATAGTGAGCAAGTGTTTCGCGGGTTTTCATGTCGAGGCGGCAGAGGCCTTCGATGCTAAGGTGAGACAGCGTACTTGGCTGTGTGTGACGTTAGATATCACCCCCCCCTCCGCGACAGCAGTATAATGTAGTACAGCAGTCGAACCTCTTATGGACGCACGTGGTTTTCCCATAAAAAAAGTGTCCCTAACCCTTATAGGGCTGGATCGCCTTTTGGGGACACTTTTTGTCCCCATCTTCTTTGCCTGCTTTACTGCGCGAAGAATGGCATGATTGTCTCCTCCTTTGCACTACTTGACCAGGGGGGTACCAGGGTACACAGGGACGACTCTAGTCTAGTATAGATGTTTTGTGGAGTGGAGGAGTTGAGGATTTTTTATTTTTTTATTTTTGTCTTCACTTCAAATCAGCGCTCACAGCACTAGTGCCGTTTACTCCAACCCGTGGTGACACAGAAGAGGATATGAACAGGTCGAATCGCGGGGCGATTACGCCGCGGGTTCAACAGCGAAGTTGCGCCGCGTCTGTCTACCCTTGGGTGGAAAGCGCTACTAGGGGCAAGCGCGGAAGAAGTACCTAGCCCACCGTTGATAGGAGGCACCGAGCAACCTAGGGCTTGAGTTAGAAGGTCTCGCTCTAGAGAAATATCTTGAAAACCTCCTTTTCGTGCCCCGTTTACCGCGCTCCCGCCAGTTGCTGTCTAAAATCCCTATCAATGGTCCTCTCACGAGGGGATAGTTGATAGGGATTATAGACAAGAGACGGCTCAAGTGGGAAGGCAGCTTTGCACTTACACCCAGGGATGGAACTGTCTGCACCATCCAATCAGCAGGCGTCGTTCGCTTTTTTTCTTACATTTCAGAAATTTCGCAAGAACGCCGAATTTTCTGTGCGTCGTAAGGGGGTTAAGGGGGGGAGTGTCCTTATAATTCAGGGGACTACAACAGAGGCGGTTTATGCGCTAACAGACGCGCATTGGGCTCTAGTACATTCGTTGCACGAAGAGAAGGCCAAAAAGTCGAAGGGAGATTTGTTTTTTTATATCAATTTTTCTGACTGAGCAACACTTGAACCAGGATGTCATGTGAACGCCTGAACGTTCGCGCTCACTTTCCAGAACTCTGGTCAACCGCACACTGCAACCACTCATGTGCGCTAATCTCATGTGTTTGCCGCGCGTTCAAGATATCAATAGGCCACCCCAAAACACGGCGTTGGTTAAAAAAAACCACACACTTTGACCTCTACATGTCGGGCGGGCAGAGTTGCCTGCAGCTCCCATCCTTAGCTCGCCGCTTGACTTCAGTTTTGTCGAAAATTGGTACTGGGTTTCGCGGTACTCCCCACCCTTTCCGTTCGCGTACAAGTAGGAGAGAACCTTCTCTAGGCTGCTGCGAACTTCGGCCTCTGTCATGGAAGATGTGATGCACGACTCTGGCCTGCCCCCATCATCTTCATCGTCAGAGGAACCATCATCAACCTCTTAGTTTGCGAGATTTCTTCTCCACAATCTCCAGTTCCATAGCTATCTCCTCCTCCAACACGCTAGGGTCGTCCTCTACGAATAGCCACATGCAGCAGCAGACCTCTCTGTGGCAAGTCAGCGGTCTACAGGGGCGCTGCGAACTGCTGGTTGAAGGGGGGTCCGCGGACTGCATGTGACACCCCCCTTTATAATATATTCTGCGGGGCACCATGTTTTCCAACAAAATAAGTGTGTTTATCCAGGGAAGTTTCCTTAATTTTGGTGTCCTTACGCGAGGTTCGACTGTTCTTTGACCGCTCGATTTCAAATGTGGGGTGGTGGATGGCGAGATCATGCAACTCGGGAAAGCTCGTACGTGCTCGTGACCTTTGCCTTCTGGCTCTTTCCCCCCCCCGTTGTGGAGCAATCGGAAAGTGTTTTTCCGGTGGAGCTGATATCTTCCGTCATTCATAGCTTGTGGATCGGCACGACCGACCATGACATACATGGAACGTGTTGTTTTTTTTTGGCACGTGTTTCTTTATGGCACGTGTGTGTGTACACAAATATTGCGGGCTGCTGCACTCGCGTACTGTATTGCTGCTGTTGTCACTGCTGCGGCTACTGTGCCTGCTGTGGCTGCTTCCGCAGATGGTAGGCGAGTTTCGGGCAGCAACTTCACCACCTAACTCGGTGGTGGCATTTGCATACCGTAGACTACGGAGTTTTACACTTTCCCCCCCCCCCCATTACCTTTTCGGCCTGGAAGCATGAGTTTATTGATTAAGCCCCAGGGTAGATCGTTTTTGACCAAAACAAAATATCCCGATCTATTTCCCTTATTTTCTGAGTCGATTGTGTTGTATCGCGGAGCACAATAAGCATGATATGGGACGGAAATTCACTTGCAGATCCGCGCTTCGACCGAGATTTAGGTGTACCGTTTGTCACTTGGCCCTCACCGTTGTTTTTTGGGGTGAAACGCTTTCGGGGGAGGGCTTCCCCCCGGGTTAGCGTTGGAAAAAAAAAAACTAACCCCCCGCGGTACGTCAATTTTTTCCCGGGGGGGAGTTGGTTTCAGAAAAAAAATCGGTTCCGTCCCCGGGGGGAAAACTCCGTAGCTTGCGGCTCCTACGCAGTGATGCTTGAAGTACTAGAGTACCAAGTAGTGTTTTCTTTTTATTTTATTCTGCCTCGTTCTCACCTCGCCCAGAGATTTCTTGCTGCGCGTGTGCATACTCCACACGGCAACTCTTCGGGTAGAGAGACAAGGACTACCTTGCCTACAAGGTAGCATACGTGTTCGTACTATTAGACACGGTGAGCCACGTGTAGAAATTGAACGAAGAAATGGCATGATGCACCGACCGGTGGCAAGAGTGTGGAACAAAAGAAAGCTGGCCCGCTCATGGGTTGCCAAGGGTGGAGCCTACAGCTCACCCGGGTTTGTCATTGATTGCTGCTGCCGGGCGACCGAATGTATTTATTGCATTAGTTGCTGCCTCAGGACTGATGGCAACCCACCACGCTCTACAAACATTACCTCGCGAGCGGGTAGAAGAAGATGTGCGACCCCCCCCCTGCAGGTGTTTTCGTGTTGTTGCATGCAAAGAACACCTCGAGGTGTTTTCAACGTACCACAGGGACGAAGAGTATACAATCTTCGACAACTTTTAAACATCGCTTATTGCGTGGAGAGTCTTGCTGTACCATACGGCAATTTGGCGTTGCACGCTGGCGCACCTTCCACGGCGCAGTTAACGTGTTTGCGAGCAGGAGCACCGAGGAGGCCGTGCTCGAAGTTAAATTGGTGGGGGAAGTGTCAAGTTGAGCTATTATAGCAACAGCCTCCGAAGTACTAATACTTTATACCAACAAAGCTACAAGGTTGCCGCAGTGCGTGCGTTGGGTTTCACTACTATAGACGTCCCAGGGAAGCCCACACAAGAACATGACAGAGGATGCCCGGTAGTAACCTACTCAAGGTTAGAGAGGGACCAAGAACACAAAAGTTTTTCTCGGCGCGTGGTCGTGCTTCACCTGTGTTTTTTTATTGGGGCCGGGGGGGAATGTGTGTTTCAGAGGGTATATTGTGGCCTGTTCCCGGCTTGAGTCCGAATCACGCTGTGATCCACGGTCATTTGAACGCACGCCCCTGTAAAGCAGCAACACTCGATAGTCCACCACCCACCACCTCCGTTGTACAGTCAGTGGTCCCCCCCCAAGACTGCTAATGATCCGCACCATCATCATCTCACAGCTTGGTCACCACTAATGAGATTGAATGACTCTCTTTTCCGTCGGCCTTCTGATTATCCACCCCAAAGCGCTTGACCCGGACAATACAACAACAACACCCTACAAACTACAAACGCTCAACACAGGTGCACGAGGAGGCTCGGCAGGCGTTCGATGGCCTCGAGGAAGGGGGCGTTTTCAGGGCGGACGTCACGCAGCCCTTCGGTCTCGGCACCAAGTGCGCCGTGACGTACGTGACGAGGACCCTCGCGGGCGACCCCGGAACCACGTACAAGTACCTCGGGTTGAGGTGAGTGCTAGATGATCCTCAGCTGCTGCTGCTGCTGCTGCTGCGGATGTTGCTGAGGTCGTTGAAGCCTTCGCGATGATGTTGAACTTGGTTTTGGCGTAAGGGTTGGGGGTTAGGGTTTAGGATGTATAGGGATAAGAAACCCCTTTGTCCCTTTCATAGATCAAGAATATAATCCTCGCAAAGGTGATCCTGCTGGGGGAGACTGTAGGCTGGCTCACTGTATCTGTTGGTTTGTTTTGCGGTAAAGCGGAGTCGAGTGATGAGGGGGCACTCGTCCGGCTCGTTTATTCACGCACGAATCGCAATCACCTTCCGGGTGAATGGATGTTGCTCACATGTCGTTGGGTGGGTTCGCGGTTTTGTTCGCCGCAGAAAATATCAAAGCCGGAGATATGTACCACCACATGGAGAACGTGTCCATCGGTGTTCGCGATGAATGATGTGTTGGTGGTGGTAGGTTAAGGGTCTGCAAGGGTAGATTAGACGGCTCAACCATGCGCTTAGGTATCGGGGAGGAGTGCATGGTGTGGTCGCTCCCTCCCATTACGTCACACCGCGACACATGCAGCACACACACCCGCGCATAAACACTTTTTTCAGGATGTTCAGTCACCCGTGGACGACGACGGCAAAGGAGGCCGATTCCGACGGGGGACACGGGTCCGGCGTCCCCTCGGCCCTGCGGCGGGTTGGCCTCCTGAACAACAAGCTGAAGGAACGCTCGCTGAGGCTGCTGAGAGCCCGGGGCGGTAGAAAGGGAAAGGCGCGGCGGGAGGGGGGTGAGGGCAATGAGTTCGGGAGCTGCGAGTTCAACGTAGCGCTCATCAACCGCATGGAGCCTTCCGATGACCGGCCAGATCTGAAGCTGGAGCCTACGTTCGGGCAGGACCGGTACGTTTCGACCTGCGGCGGGGCCGATCTTCCTGCGTGCTGGTGCTGTTTTGTCACTCGTATTTGTTTTTGGGGGGGTTGCTGGTGAAATGATGGTTGTGTTGCCCGTGTTTTAGGTGGATGACGGTTGTGGTGGGAGCGGTACGGGGGTGTGGCTAACGCCAACACCCGCGTACCCGTGATGCGGCGTGGTAACTTCTTGTTTGTGAAGGTGGTAACTTCTTGTGCCAGCCGTCAGCTGCGATCGATGCGAATCAAGGAAGCCCGATGCACAACCACGACCACCTCTTCACGCACGAACGAACGTCACAGATGCTCCGTCTCGTGGCACGCGGACTCCTGCCTGGAGCACTACTCGAGCATTGCGGTCTACCACGTGACCGACCCGGAGGCGAAGAATAAAAACGCCGACGCCGACGGGGGTGATGGAAGCCCTGCCGTCCCCGCTGACTGGAGGATCGCGCTGAGGGTGGAGCCTGACGCAGAGGGACCGTCGGCGGGAAAGCTCAAGCTAGCGGCGACTGAAGACAAGGTAGGCCACTGCTGTGCTGTGGGTGTGGCGGCTAGGTGCGCGGCGGTCTTCGGGTAGCAGAAGTCCGGGGGTTGGCTTGTGATGCGTCCGGAGAGCGAATAGATCGCCGTTGGCGAGCGGCGCTTGGGCATGTTCCCCCCTGGGAGGGTGCCTCTTGTCGATTCATTATTCTTTCTTGCTGCTCGTGACTGCTCGACGTAGAGAGAGGGTTTCATGGCGGGAAAATATCAAGCTGGTGTGTGGCGGCTGGCAAAACACGTAGTGAAACATAGGGGATGGGTGTCCCACCGTTATCCAAAGGCGCTGCACCCGCTCGAAACCCGATGCTGTTGCCACAGAAGCCGCTAGGCTGATCCAGTGAATCGCCGGGTGGACTCCCCCCCCCCGTTGTTTTCTTCCTTTGGCGCCGTTGGACCCTTATCCCGTTCCTTTTTGGGGGGTGAACAGTCGAGCAGGGTCGACCGAGCGCCCGCGGTAGCGGTGGCGCTACCGTCAAGGTCGGCCTACTTTCTACTGGACGACTTCAACCACCACCACCAGCACGCCGTCTTGGCGGGGCAATCGCACCGGTAGGAATCGGCTTTCTATGTGGAGGGTTCCTTGTTGGCTGCGTCGTTAGGCCGTCGAAAACGCGCATTGTGTTTGAGACCGGAGACTGTCGTATCCACTCCCAACCGTTTGTAACCGGGGGAACAGCAAGGGTCGTGCGTTTCGCTCAATTTAGGAGGCCGAAGTCATTAGCGCCCGTTTTTGTGTTTTTTTTTCTGCCCCCGTTTTTTTCGCAGGTGGTCTAGCACCCACAGGGTAGCCAAGAAGCAGGGGCACAGTTTCGACTACATCTCGGGAAGGTATGGGATACATCAAATGCACAGGAGTCCGTCTGGCCTCCCCGTTAGTCGATGTGTTTTTCTTCGTGTTGTATTGGGATGACGAACGCGGGCAAGTTGCTACTATTTACGCAGAGATCGCTTGTTAGTGGGAGCACTTATGGGGAGGATGGCTCAATCCTTCTCGCGTCTGTGTGGCCCCGGGTCGGGAGAGACCCTTCAGCTAGGGAGGCAAAGTCGTAGGGTAGGTCGCGAGCGACGATCGAAAGATTGGATGACTACAACCAAAAGCCAACCGCTCTACAGAGATGTTGTTGACTGTTGTTTGTCCGTTTTCGTCGTGTTGTAAAATGAAACATAAGGCACGTAGAAAAATTCGGAGACGCTTTCGTCGTGTCTCGCTTAAGAATAAAGTGGGGACACGGAGGTGGGTAATTTTTTTAGGGTCGGTGGTTACCTGTCGGTCACGTTGCTTCACTCGTGATTGATGGATTCATCTGAAACCCCTACAAAGAGCAGAATAGTGCTGTATCGTCAGCACGTGCACGGGATGAATGTAGATGGTTGTATAGAAAGTGTACTTCGTGGGACAAAAATCACTTTTCAACCCGTTGCACCAGCGTTAAGTCCGCACCGAAACGAAGACGTCACGCAAGGCTCACACGACGACGTGTCGAAGGCAAGCGACAAGCGCGTGCTTCCAGTGGTGTGTAGTTCAATCAGCCCCGGTAGCAGCAGCAGTGGCAGCAAATACGTCGAAGCAGTCCGTTCCAGAGTCTCACTTTGGACAGCATATGGGCTGCCTGCCCTCGAGATCGTTGCGCGACCAAGGGCAAAGGACACCCAAAAACAGCACTAGTTCATTCAACGTGTGTGCCAGCGTTCCGCTCATTCGGATGGGAAAGAGGCGTGGTATGTTGTGCACCCCCCCCCGCCTGGTTGCGACACGCCTTCTGTGTGTCCCCTCCGTGAGGTCTGTCTCCCTCCTGAGCTAAACTACCTCATCATCGCGACGGCGGCGGCGGCGGCAGGTGTAGAACCGTTCTCGGGGACGGGCACCGGAGGACCCTGAAACAGTGGAAGACGGAGCAGCTTACCCTCGCCGAGCTGGAATTCGAGTGGATTCGACAGGTACAGCAGCATGATATGCGGCGGCGCTGCGGCGGTGACATAATGTTTCTTCGCCTTTTTCGGATGATTTTTTTTCTTCTGTGCTGCTCCTCTGCGGTTTTCTGTGAAGAGGCTTGATTCGGTTTGGTGGTTGTCTCTACGCCTCTCGCTGTCAAGAGCACGAGGACGAGTGCGAGACAAGCAACGCAACAAGAGAGATCGATCAAATGTGGTTCGACATCGGGCTGAAGCGCTGCATTCCAACATCCCAACGCATGCCGGATTCTTAGAGGGCATAGAGTGCGTGCGTTTGTCGTTGTGTCAATCAGAGTCTCGACGTCCACGCCTTGTTTTTGTCTCCGGCCATGCCGCTTTAACTCTCTCCAGGTTGATCAGAGTCTGTGCAACCCACAACAAGGCAGAGAAAGAACGGCACTGGCAATGCACTTGCTTGTGTGAGACGCTGCCGCGCGAACACTTGCCCACCAATACTTCGATGAGTTTCCGTTGTGAAAACCGGCGGGGAATGATGTCTCGCTACTTTTCTGCATTAAGGCGCTGCCGAGGGCAAATTCCGTCGTTGTTGTTGGTTTCAATTTGATGATCATGCAACTTCAACAGAAACACTTTCGAGATTTCCGCTCCCTTAATTGGATACGTTTTACAGTCCACCCAAGCTTCACGTCTGCGGCACCACATCTTCTTCGCCGCAACTGCAATCTAAGAAAATCTCGATATAAGTCGTTCCTTGGCTCAACGCAGCGTCTGAGCGCTCATTAGTGGTGTCGTGTTTTTCTCGGCGATACAGTACACTGATATATGAATTTTCTTTTTCTTTTTTCTTTTTCTTTTTCAGTTTTATGTTCAGGGTCGTGCCCACCACGCCCTCCACTCCTGGTGGCACGGGCCCCTGCAGGAGCTGCTCCGGTTCTGGTCTCTCCTTGAGGCCAAGACGGCGGTTGTGGTGAACACCCTGCAGGGGGCAGCGGAGTCGCGGTTTGATCATCACCAGCAGCAGCAATCAGGTTGGTTGTTTGATCAGCAGCAGGAGCAGAATCAATCAGGTTCGTCGTTAGTTGTTGCCGATGTCGTCGAAGGCATTTCGGTGCCGGCGGTAGGGTTAAGTCGCGGAGGCGGTGGGGAGGCATTCTGCGCGGAGCGTCGGAAATCGCGCATGGGTCATGTGGTGACATCGTTTTTCGCGTACTTGTGGTTGCGTTGCCCTTGTCGACGATGGTGGGCGGTGGTGGTTGTCGCGCGGCGGCAGGGCAGGTGACTCGGTTGTGTGCGCCTTCTTTTGCCAAAAGCATGTTTTTCCCTCTCGAGCTTGCTTGGTTTCTCTCCTCCTCCTCCTCCTCCTCCTCCTCCTCCTCCTCCTCCTCCTCCTCCTCCTCCTCCTCCGCCTCCGCCTCCGCCTCCGCCTCCGCCTCCGCCTCCGCCTCCCACGGAACGCTCGACACTGGGGTGCAAGGCAAACGGAGGTCAGCGTCTTCGCCGTCGTACAATAGCGGACGTTCTACAGCTTTCGTCAGCGGCAGTTACAACGGGATTCGTTGGCGATAATTGTCTGCCCACCAGATGGAAAAGTCTTTCTGATCCCCCTTGTGTCTGTCCTTTTTAGAGCGGGTCGTTCACTCGCTGTCCACTGCTCGGTTTTTACCCTTTTTCTTGATCTTCGTGTACGTCGAGTCCGACTTCATCGTGTTTGTTTCCCGGCTGAACCGAACCGAAAATGTCGTTGCTTCCCGCTGGTCGGGTGAGTCTGCGAAGAGCATCTACACCCACAGCCCCACGCCAGAAAATCCCTTGCTGTACTCCCCACGCCGCTCTTTTGCCTCCAAATGCACGGCTTGTTCCCACAGGCGGGAGCGTTGTCGAGGCAGCGGGAGCGGGCGCGGACGACAAGCGAGAGAAGAAGGCCCGCCAGAAGCGGGCCAAGCAGAGGCAGGCCGTGGAAAGCCTCGGGGGGCGAGATGCCTACTCGGCCATCGCCGACGCGTTGGGGGACCGGGCGGAGAAGCGGAGGCAGTGGGCGGAGCGAGAAAAGGACAAGGTGAGAAGCGAACGCAGACGCTGTTGTCTTCCGTGTGATGAGTGACGGGAGTATCATCGCACCCCCTGGATCGATTTTGACAGCTCCATTGCTCGACGACCGAGAGGGTGCATCTATAAAACTCAAACGAGACGCTTCCGACGCCTCTACTTTATCCACCGCCACTCGTTCTTCATGCGGAGAAACTGGGATATTAATATTCATGTCACCAAAGGTGTCTGTGGATGTGATTTGATCGTTGGTTGGGCGGAGAGGAGCGGGCGCATGAACTGCCGCACCGCAGGCGGCAGGCCGTGCTAGACCGTCAGTTTTTCGACGACACCGTTCGCTGATGGTTTGTATTCGACCACGTGTTCGCGTGTGCCGCATCCTACTTTTTCTTGCCGACACAACCCGTTCTTTCTCTCTCGCTACAAGTTGGTGCGCATGTTTCTCTGCCAGTGTGGTTGTCGTTCGCCAGCAATCAATCTCTCACCGGCGCTCGCACCGCCCTCCACCGCCTTCGCCCGTCTCCCCCCGCTTTTTTTTTTTTTTTCTGGAGGTGTTCGAGCGGCTCCCGGCCGACTCCCGGCCCATGCCCTGCCCCCTCTCCCCTTCCTTGTCCTCCTCTGCCCACAGCGCCGTTTCGACCCCGCTCCCCCGCACCCCGGAGGCCCTGAGCGCTCTGGCCGACGCGGTGCTAGAGTGGGGGAAGATATTCTCCGGGGAAGATGGTGTTCGAGGCGGTGGAATTGTGGTGGCGGAGGAGGCGGGGGTGGGCGGTGGTGGACGAAGAGTCTCCGGTGGCTGCGGTGAGAACGAGAGCGGAGGAACCGGCGAGAAACCGGCAGGGGTGGCGGACTCCGGCGCCGGCGGCGTTGACAATGGCCCAGACGGTCAAGAACCCTGCGAGAGCAGCACCAGCGGCGGCAGCAGCCTTCCTTCGCCGCTGGTAACCTCCCCAGCCGGCACCGAGAGCGCCCGTCACGCTCCTCCCACCCCCTGGGAGACCGGGCGCTTTGCGCTGGAGATGCAAGCGCCTTGGTCCCGCCGTCTCCTCGACGGGGAGAAGACGGTCGAGACGCGGGGATACCCGCTCCCGGAGGGCCTGGTCGGCCGCTCGATCGAGGTCCTCGAGTCCGGGCGGGGCCGGGACGGGGTTTCCGGCGTCGGTGACGTCGTGGAGGCGTTCTCTGCCGGGCTTTCGGTCGTCGGGCGCGTGGTGTTCGGCGGCACGGAGGCGTACCCGAGCCGGGAGGCGTGGGCGGCGGACGCGGAGCGGCACCTGGTGCCGGTGCCGGCGGAGGAGGAAGGGTCCGAGAGCGGTAAGGGGTACGGGTGGAAGGGTCCCGGGAGCGTGCACGCCTGGAGGGTGGCGAGCGTCGAGGCGTACCCGAAGCCCCGGGCCGTTAGGAGGATGGGGCGCGTCTTCCGCTCGCTGTTTTTGGTGGAGCAGCCCAAGGGGAAGCAACCCACTGGCGGTGGCGGTGGCGGCGGTGGCGGCGGCGGGGGCAACGGCGCGAACCCGGACGGAAGCGTAGGCGTCGGGGCTGCGGACGGTCGCCCTGAGATTGGCGGTGACGAAGGCAAGAGAAAGAGGAAGCCGAAGAAGAAGCGGAAACGGAAGGGCCCCCCGGCCGGCGAGGTCCTTGGGGCCGCAGATGCGGCACCAGGGACTGCTGTTAGCGAGAAGGGCAACCCTCTTTCTGCCTCTTCGGCTGCTGTTGAAACTCCGAATGCCACCGCTGCTGCTGCACCTACCGCTGTGTCCCCCACGGGGGGGGCAAAGGGAGCAAGTGCCGAAAAGCCCAAGACGAAACGGCCCAGGCACGCGGCCAACGGTCAACAAGGAACCGTTTCTAAGGAAGGCAACGTGTTCGATGGGCCGGCGAGTGGGGGGGAGGAATCACTCTCGAACGGTAGCGGATCCGTCCAAGACGGTGGCGGGGTCGGCGGTGACGGGGGGGGCGGTGGCATCGGGGTAGAAGATAGCAAGGAGAGTGGTTGTGGGGAGAAGGGAACGAGAAGAAGGGCTGGTAAAGGTTCGGAGCAGCAGAAGGGACTGACGCGGAAAGGCGGGGAGGAAGAAGTGGGGGACGAAGGGGTCGTTGCTCTTGCTGCCGCGGCTGCGGCGGCACGAAGCGCCGGGGGCGGGTTTGATGTGGTGGTTGGTGATGGGTGGGGCGCAGTAGACGCTCCTGCCGTGAAGCCGGGGGACGGAGAAATGCGCAAGAGGCACAAGAGGAAAAAGAAGCGATACTGACTTGCGGTCGGAAGCACAATTGTTGGGAAAGGAGGGACGTGCAATGACTCCTGCTGAGAGATTTGTAACGAGTTTCGAACTACTTGAGTGGTGCTTGCTATGTTGTGTTTGGGCATCTTGGCGTTATTGCTTCTACCGCGGAGGATTTGACCGTCCGCTTGTTGACGGCTATGAATGGCAATGCGCCGACTCTTTACCTCTGTAGTCTTGGTTGAGGCCGGGGTTCTCTCAGTAGTTACTCTTGTGAGCTAAGGACGGTACCCAAGTTCTTATGTTCGATACACTGTTGAGCATGAAGTTCGGGCCCGCCAAGTTCGTGTTGTAAGTGTGGGCGATAGCTTCATTCCGCAAGAATGCGGGTCTTGACACGGATCGGCTACTGTACGTCGCACAGGCCGGGGTGTTGGCACAGGCCGTGCGGAAAAAATCGGGTTCCAAGGGATTTGATTGATTATCGCACAGGTATCGTTCACGTCGAACAGGGGTGCGCGGAGACCCCGGTTGGGCGATACCACGAGTGGTATCCAGCTTTTGTCGCGGGCCACTCCCGTACCAAGGTAGCTGTACTTTGGAATGGTAACCCCCTTGTTCAACATTGTTATTATTGTCGGAATCGGCAAAACGGTTTCTGCTCACGACAACGAGCTACGGACGGTGCTATGAAAAAAACATATAGGATACCGGGAAACAATACGAATACCTGGCCAAGGGCTGGCAGGCGAAATGGTACATCCCCCATAGGCAACGACGTAACGACGTCCTTCGTCGTTCGTGGCACCGAAGCAAACCTCTCCTTCACTGGCCGATACCCCGCTGCAATCGGAACGTTTTACGTAGCGCCAAATTACCAACTGGTCCTGTTGTGCTGGTGTGCTGTTGTTGTGTCTGTTCGTTATGTTGTGGTCCTCATGGTGCAATACTGCGCACGCACACGAAGTGCTGGTGTGTGTGTGTCTGCTGTGATTTGTTCGGGATAAGACACATTGGAGTCTTGGCACGGGAGTTCAGAACACCCCACATCCCCGCTTAGTATTTTCTCAGAATCGCACGGTTCGGAGTAATCGCACGGGGTGTGCGTTATTTTTTCAGGAAAAAACGATTCATGTTCCGCACAGGTATCGGGTTCACGGCATGTATCGGCGTCTTGGCACCCCTGTGCGATATAAAACCGAGAATGAAAGCATTCAATTTCACGACCGCATAGTGTGTCAAGACCCGCATTCTCACGATACTTCTGAGCCCACAAGTTTGAACCACACCATAGCCGCCAACCCCTCCCTCGCGCTTGCCAACCTCCGCCCGCTCGGATGCACACTTACTGCAGCTGTTGGTACAAAAGTAGTGTAATTCCAGAGGGATGCAAACACGGTCAAGTCCACTACCTGCTGTACCGAAGGATTTGTGTGTGTGTGGGTTCTGAGCCCTGAGGCAGCTGCAACATAAACTATCAATCAAGCAGAGGACCTGAGAGTAGAGACAGGAGACGGTGGCGGGACGAGCGAAATCTCTATTGATGGAACGTGCACGGATGCTATGTGTAACCAACGGCCCGAGCGCCTGCAACCTCGGGTCAGTGCAACGCCGAAGAGGGTCATCATGCACGACAAGCTTTGTTTGGGACGTGGTCAACGATCAACGGCGCACCGTCCCACTGCGGGACCCTCCGGTCAATGCCAAGCCGAAGAGGTGCACGACAAGATTTGTATGGGTCAACGGTCAACGGCCCGAGAGATTCGTTGGGACAGTGGCACTTTCCAGTGATGACTAAATCCCCAGAAGAACACGGTCTTACCAGAAGAATAATCGCACTGCAGTCGTGTTACCGGAAAGCACATTCCCCGCACCTCTCAGCATGAGAAAAGGACCTCAGAATGCCAACAAGACAGCGGCCACTAGGCAACGACGAAACGCACGTCAGCGCCCAGTGGGGCCTGCTGTGCATCGGCGACGGCTAGCTACTGTTGCGTTATTGCACCGTACCAAACCTCTTCATTTTCATATTTTCATGCTCATGTGAAACCGCCGCTGTGAACCTCGACGCCGCTTCAAAGTCGATCCGTCTAAGGGACCGTTGCGGCTGTGTCTGCTGCTTTTACAGCTGCCGCTTCTGCGAGAACATGCAAGCTTCAGCGCACTGCTCCAGGATACACACACAACGTGGAATGGTGCTGTGTTCTATGTTCTATGCCATGGCGACGGTTATTATAATAGCTATTGCCACCGTTTCGTTGAACTATGTAACTGTTCGAGGATAAAATTCATCCGGATTTTTTATGAAACAGGCTCGTAGATATCGTTGCACCGGCCTGTCGCCCCCTCTCTCCCGGTCAGTTATCTGCACCGCCCGACCTAACCAAGCGAGCCAATCTAATAATCAAGTGAGTCAGTGCTTCCTGAGAATGGACCACCTTGGTGGTCCTCACCTGCGCGATATGATCAATCACACGGATTGTCAAGCGCGCGCTAAATTGGAGATGGGTCTCCGTTGGCGCATGCAACACTCTGAGAAGCTCACAATAAATTTGGGGGTTGATACGCATGAGATTGTTCATGGTGCCTCATCGTGCCCCACGAGAATGGGATACTACGCCTCTCTAAACGAAGATCGTCGTAGCGACCCGGAAAACATACCGATGTCGCCGGCGCCGCCTTTCTCTATCCTCCTTGTGTAGATGCCCATGCCTCCGATTTGACCTCCGGGGGCATGCTTTTCTTCACGACACGAAGACACGAAGAGGTATACCTTTAGGCAAACGTCAACTGATTGTCGATCAGAGTGTGTTTTTGTTCCGTTTGGGGCTGTCGCTATGCTGTTGGCCGTTCACACCACCCCCCCCCATCAGCCCTGTTTGTCGGCCGTACTCCGCGTACTTATCGGGTATTGTTTGTGTAGTGTATTAACTTCAGACGGTGAGGCAACGCCCGTACCCAGGGCGCTGTCGTGCTCAGAAAGGAGGAGTGGCAGCAGGGCTGCTGCACACAACAAAAGGGGGCCCCGGTGCATCATCACCGTACCCCTACCTAAAAGGTTCTACACCATCTGCGTCACACTTGTACGTACGGCTAACATATCCAAACCATGTCCGTAGACCCACGAACACCCTCCCTGGTTCTTCACGCAAGTGACTAACCATCAGTGGGGCAAAAACACCCCGGATACATCAATAAAATGCCAATACGGTGGTCGAGGGGAAACCCGGCGCCCGGGCAAAACCCCTCGAAAACAAATCCCATCCAACACAAACCATTGCTATCACGGCGGATCACAACGGCCGCACTTATCAGGAAGGCCAAGGCGAAGACAAGAATGCGAGGCAAGCCTCCTACTCCTGCCATTGGGACACAGCCCGCGACAGTAATGCATCTTTCCCCGCATGGTATACATGACCTTCCCCAAGCGCTAGAAAATCCTACAGAAGCTCCGGCAAATTCATCAGCTTTTTCCGGTGGTACTGCAGGTTGCTCTTGCTAAGAGCCTTGGTGAGCATGTCTGCATGTTGCTCCGACGTCGACACAAACTTGATCGAGATGTCACCCGACCTAAACAATCCACGAATGAAGTGGTACCGCACGTCGATGTGCTTGCTACGCGCTGAGCTAAGGGGGTTCTGCACCAAAGCCATGGCCCCCTGATTGTCCTCAAGGACCTGAATGCTACCGCCGCTGGTCTCTGGGGCAATAAACGAAAGCACTGCACGCACAAACAAAGCTTCTTTCACACCCTCTCCGGCAGCAATGTACTCTGCCTCCGTAAACGACAAAAATACAATAGCTTGCG